CCTACGCCTACAGATTCCAAGTTCAAGACATGCCTGGTTCAGATAACTTAGTAAGACCTGTCTCAAAATACAAACTAGAGAAAGGGTCAGGGGGTATAACTTAGTGGTAGGATATTGGGGTGTGGTATATGGTATACCTAGCACTGTGCTAGAATATTGGGGTGTGGTATATGGTATACCCAGCACTGTACTAGAATATTGGGGTATGGTATATGGTATACCCAGCACTGTGCTAGAATATTGGGGTGTGGTTTATGGTGTACCCATCACTGTGCTAGAATATTGGGGTGTGGTTTATGGTATACCCATCACTGTGCTAGAATATTGGGGTGTGGTTTATGGTATACCCAGGACTGAAAAAGAACATTAGTGTGCTTTCTGACGTTGGTGTGAGCCCAGGGGAGATCTGGCATCACTTTGGACAGATAGCAGGACAGACAAACTTCAGATGTACATTGACCTTTACCCTCCACCATCATGGTGTAGAAGGTTCAGAGCCTGACCTGGTCACCAGCCTGGTTCCCCAAAGACCCCCAAGGTCACAGCCTTTTTTCCCCCAAGCAGCCTCTGCAGGATTCTGGAAGACACAACAAATATCTCCTGGCTTCCTGATCCTGGTAATGCCACAGAGTTAGAAGAAAAGCCTCTAAGCCGGCAGGACTTAACAACCTTTAAGCAATTACATTCACTCTCTAGAATGTTCCCAGAAAACCAGTATCTCTGAGGGGATACTTGCTGTCAGAAAAAATGCCTAGTACCTCTTCCTCCTCTTCCCCTCCTCCTCTTCCTTGAGGAAGCACTTTGCTTTGTAGTGGCAGCTTGATGCCTGCCCTGTGTCTTTTCCTTTCCTTGCCTCTGGTTTGCCTGTGGTGTTTGCTTTGAGGGACTCTTCTGAGGTAGATTCTCTGGGGACACTGCCTTTAAGATGGAGGCTCTCGTGCACTGGTAAGGAGCTGCTGTCCTTAAAACCTTCGAGTCCCTCCTCTAGTTAATCTTGAACTGTCCCTGTCCTCAGGAGCCGAGGAGAGATTGAGGGAGGAGCAGTGCCTGTGAGCTGCTCCTCGTCACTAGAGCCCTGGACATGTCTGGACTCTGCACAGTGCCACAGCGGGGAGAGGAAGGGTACATGGTTCAGAGCCCTGCCTCTGTCCTTCCCACTTGTACCAGTGCCTCTAAGGGCAAAGTCTTTCCCAACCGACTCTGCAACTTGCTAAGCTGCAACAGACCCAGGAGAAGATGGGGAAAGAATATCTACTTTAATAATGATGATACTCAGATTGCTCTAGAATGCATGTCAGTTAAAACATCTTTGTTTTAGATTACTGCAGAAAAGTCCAACGTGTTTAATTCAGATTCATCTGAATTTGCTATCATCTTCTAGTTGTATTTTGTTGTCCCAACTGTAATGACAAGGCACTGTTACACGTAGGGAGCATATTGACCTTGTGCACTCCCCCACTGCTTTAATGCAGACTATCAAACTTTTATCGAAAGTACACTTTGGGTATGTGGTAGTTTGAGTGTAATTGGGCCCTGTAAGCTCATAAGGAGTGGCACTGTTAGGAGGTGTGGCTTTGTTGGAGTGGCATGGCCTTGTTAGAGGAGGTATGTCACTATAGGGGTGGACTTTGAGATTTCCTGTGTTCAGGATATCACCCAGTGTCTCAGACTATCTCCTGTTGCCTTCTGATCAAGATGTAGCCAGCACTATGCCCGCATGCTACCATGCTCCCAGTCATGACGATAAAGGACTAAACCTCTGAAATTATAAGCTGCCACTTCATTTAAGCTTTTAACTGGCAAAACTTTATTTCAAAACGCATGCAGGGTTAGTGTGTTTACTCCTGGGCTGGAGATGTAGCTCAGTTGGTAGAGTGCTTGCTAAACATGCAGAAAGGCCCAGGTTCCACCCACAGAGCATGCCTACCATCAGTGCCTTGGCTTTCATACCTGCAGGGTTCTGATGTGCAAGGTTGGTCACACTTGTCGCTGTGAGGCCCTGGTTGTGTTAGGCCTGCATCTGCACCAGGGTTTTTCTCATTTACAGATCTGTCTTGTAGACCTTTTCATAGTGGAGAGACAGTCAACTCATTCTTCAGAAGCACCCACAGTTTTCAGAGCTCCTCAGAAGATAGCTCCTGTTATCCCATGGAAAGATGGGTAGTGAGAATGGCGACTCTCCCCTCAATCTCACTCCCCACCTAAAGTCAGTGGCGGCATCTGTGAACTGCTTGTGCATTATCCATGATGGTGCTCCTCGCTTTCGCCTTAACAGTCCTCCTCGTGTGGCCACGGCCCAATCTCTCTGTTATCCAGGATGGTGCTCCCCACTTTCGCTTTAACAGTCCTCCTCGTGCATCCATGGCCCAATCTCTTTATTCTTCTCTAGTTAACATTGTTAATATAGTTGAATAGTTTGTACACATTTTAAGATAACTTGAGATTTGGTTTTGGATTATGCTGGGGTTGGAATCCAGGGCCTTGTCCATGCTGGCAAATGTTCTACCACTGAACTCTATCTGCTGCCTGAGGTATGATCTCTTTTTTTTTAAATGTATTTATTTATTAAAGATTTCTGTCTCTTCCCCGCCACCGCCTCCCATTTCCCTCCCCCTCCCCCAATTAAGTACCCCCCTCCTCAGCCTGAAAAGCAATCAGGGTTCCCTGTCCTGTGGGAAGTCCAAGGGACCCCCACCTCCATCCAGGTCTAGTAAGTTGAGCATCCAAACTGCCTGGGCTCCCACAAAGCCAGTAAGTGCAGTAGGATCAGAAACCCATTGCCATTGTTCTTGAGTTCTCAGTAGTCCTCATTGTCCGCTATGTTCAGAGAGTCCGGTTTTATCCCAGGCTTTTGCAGACCCAGGCCAGCTGGCCTTGTATGATCTCTTATGGACATTTTGATTGGTGAATGGGGTTGCTACTTCTAGGTGTATTTTGGCAAAAGGTCCCCTCTCAAAGGATAACGTTTTTAGGGATCTTGGTACTTACAGCCTCCTGCCTTCTGAATATGTTATATCAACTCTTTCCAGCCACCCACAAGAAAGTGATGGTCATGAAAGCAGCAATGTGACACCAAAGCCCTTGGATGGCTCCCTGTTGGGTTTGTAGGAATCTCTAGGTAACACTTTTACAGGGAACCTGTGTGGCCAGGGCCCAGTTTAATTGCCTCGCTGAAGGCACCACTGAGGCTGAGCTGGGTCACTCTCTCTCCAGGCTGTTATGCATGGACTGAGAGGTACCCTGAGTTTGGCTAGGCAGATTCTTCATGTGTCCTCACAGATAGCAATGTGCAACTCTTACTTCTCTATCATACTAAACTATCACCATACTGTCACTTGAGCTTGCAACCAGTGGCTGTGGCTTGGGGCACATTTTATCCTCAGAATAACCTTGGGAATGTCCGTATTGTCACTATTAACATGTTGGGGAGTTGAGCTGCTTTGCTAAACCACCTGAGGAGAAAGGTGGTTTATTCTGGGTCATATTTGCAGGGACTTTGAAGTCCAGCATGGTGAGGGGGAATGCCAGAGAACCTGAGATGAGAAGCAGTAAGAAGGAATGCTGGCTGGCAGGCTTCCCCAAGCCATTTCCATTGAGGATGGGCCTTCTTCCTCTTGGTTGTGTGACTTTACCTGGGGAAACACGAACAAATGTCTGTTCTCCCCAGATGGGGGCAAAGCAATGATTCTACCTGTCTTGATGATGATCTAGTGAATTTATTAGGGTTACTTTCAGGGACATGGGTGACTCAAAGGCAGCTGACCAAGAAGACCACCTGGCATGGGTGGTAGCTCACAGAAGTCACATTCCTTGGAGCTCCCTGGGTGTTCAGCTGGTCAGAGAATCTACATGCTTACATAAAACTTGGACAGAGCCTGAAGATCTGATGTGATGCTTTCTGTATTTGATTCCTGAGTCTTCTGAACACATTGACTGCCTTCAGACAAGTCCTCACAAACACACTGGTGTGCCTTACCAGTCTTCTAGATGATTCTGAATCTACTTACCACTGTGTATCTTACAGAACTGATTTGCTCACGGCTGTGGAGCTGGGAAGAAGGGAGGCACTAAGTTGGTACTAAGGCATTTAGGTCAGGACCCAGGCTCCCGTCCACTCTTGCTCCTGCCTCTACAGCTGATGGAACTAAATGGATATTGTTGACAATTTCCCCTTGCATCCCTACACTCTTCTTTGTTTCAGATGTTTTCCCTTTCTTTGTTTACATTCTTAAAATCCTATACCACTTTAATCAGATGGCAAAAGGAAGTCCCTCACCTTGGGGGTGGGATAACATGGTCCTCTGTTTAGCATATACTGGTATGGGGATCCCATAGTCAGAGCATAGTTATTGTAAGTCCTTGTGCCAGCCCTGATAATTGATCTCTATCTCAGGCCAGGGTTGGGACTAAGGGTCCCTGAAGATCACTTGCTCTTGGTACCTCCTGGCCATCTCACTTGGCTTTGTGGCATGTGGTTAGGACCCAAGCAGCATTAGTGGGGGCCATTGTGACACTGTTTGGTTCTGTCACCAATCGTGTTTTCAGCCAGGAGCCTTCGTGTTCTTTCTGCCTGCAGTTTCACATACATTATGGGACAAAAGGACAGCCATTTTGAGGGAGTAGTGGCCTTTTGTGCTTACGTACTGGCTGTGATATTTGTGATCCTCCTCACAGTGACAATAGATATTTTTTTTCATTGCACAGATGATATCTTGTATCTCCAATCCTAATTAGTCCTTTATGGCTCCAAAATTGCATGCTTTTCTATGCCTGTGATTATCTAAATAGGATTAGCAGTGCCTTTTCTGTAAAGATAATTGAGACCTCGCATGGCAGTGTGTTTTTATGACTGCAGCATCATCCCCAGTCACCTCTCCATGAAATCTTACTGTTTTCCAGTGGCCGCTTTCCCCCTCATTCTGAGAGACAAGTTTTTGGTGAATGTGCAAACTGTGCTAACCTGTGCATTCTTCCCTCTTCTTCCTGTTTCCCAACTGCAGGTGCCTGGAGATTTGAGCCAAACATCTGAAGACCAGAGTTTATCAGATTTTGAAATGTAAGTTTATGTATGTGCTCTCCAGAGGCCCTCAGAGAGTGAACCCTGTTACTAGCCTATGTCCTGAAGTCTGCAAAGCAGAAACGTCCATGAGGTGCACACAGAACCCGTTTGTTTATAGACCTGGGAACATTTGCTGAGGTCCAAATTGTCTAACATACTTGATTTTCCCATGGCATTCAAGATCATTTCAGTTTTGACTTGACATTTAAAATGGGAAGGTGTCACATAGAGTTTTAACTTGTCACCCCCGCTAGGCCATGACCAGCTAAGGAGGAGCCGAGGTTCCTTTTGCACAGGGCCCACACTCTATTCTTCACCGTGCTGCTGCCCCATGTACCATGCTTTTGTCTGGCCCACTCATAATAATAACATTGCTGTGGTGTTGACTGGCTCCGATTCTGTCTGAGAGCTCTGCTGCTAACCCCTGAGGGGGCAGTCATTCTTCAGACACTTTCTGTTTTGGGAATTCATAGTCTCCTTAGGCTCCTAAGGAACACAGGGCCAGAGAGAGTCTCCTCCTTTTCATGTGGTTGTGGTCAGTGTATGAAGGTCCAGCCTCTCTAGCTTTAGACCCAGGAATTCAAGACCAGGTGGACACACAGTGAGTCTCAGCAACAAATATCCTGCCTCCCTATGAGAATGGTCACTCAGAAAGGCTACTTTAGAGCATGGGGAGGCAGGACACTGGAAAAAGCATTTTGTCTAGAGTTAGGAGACCTATGTTGAAATCTTAGGTGCTGGTCTTACAACATTCTGACCTTATGTAAGCCTAGTGTCCCCTTCATGTGAGGTGAAGGTCGTTGAACCAATTTTGCAGGGCATGTTAGCACCTGGTGTGGGACTGCAGACAGCACAGGGCATTTGGAGCCCCATCTGTCTTGGGGGCTGCCATGAGGTGGGTGTGTTAGATAAGAAAGCAAGGACAGGGAGAAAATGATCTAAGTTAAAGATGACTTTGACACTTCAATGTTTACACCCCAACCACAGGGCCTTAAAGCACATGATATAAAAACAGGCTAAAACACAGCCAGTCCTAGGATAGCAGTTAAGCTATACACTATTTCCAATATAGAACCACCAGAAAGAAGGTCAGTAAGTAACTGAGCTTTAGCAACATTATAAAGAAATTAAACAGAACATAGCTAAAGATACAGATACAAATAGAATACACACTTGTGTTAGTCAGCTTTTATTACTATAGAATTACATTTTTATTACTTACAGAATTAAAAGGGTTGTTTTGTTTTGTAGGTTTCAATTAGTGCTAAGGCAGACTTTTAGTTCTTGGGCCTGTGTTGAAGCACCATATCAGGGCTGGCAGGAAGCTGCCTACCTCATGATGCTGGGAAGCAAAGAGAATTAGGGGAAGACTGTGGCTCCACAATTCCCTTCCGCTAGACTTCCTCTTCGGATCACAGACAGGGGACTCAGCATTTAACACATGGGCCATGTGGATCCTACAGATCCAGCTAGAACAGGTTTCTTCCAAAATACACATGAGATATTCTCCAGATTAGATCATGCCTCAATAAAATTTTAAAACTGAAATCACACTATTTTCTTTGCCATGGCAGAATAATTTGTGTAATTTGTCCCTCTCCTGTGGTGAAGGGGGGACTACATCTGTTTTCTCTGTTCCTTCGTCACTCATATTTAGATAGAGTTGTGTCTACCAGGTCCTACTAGATACTCATTCCATGATAGATGAGTGATCAATAGACGGATAGAAGGAAGGCGAGAGGACCAAAGAGCTGGTGTACAGGAGGGAGTCACATAGGCAGTCACTTCCAACACAGTGCAGTAAATGGCTTGGAAAAAGAACATGTGACCCAGTCTGGGGTCATCTGCTTTGGCCTTAGCAGTTGGGAAGAGGAATGGAACCAGGACATTGCTCTTCTATACCCCTGTCTTGGTGACAGAAAGGTTCTGGGGTGCTCTAGGCTCAGGAACAGCTTTGGGACCTTTGCATGAGAAACGCCATTGGGTACACAGACCAATTTGGAGACTCAGTATTGTTGAGTGTGCTTTGAACCCTGAACACATGACCATTCATGGCTTATTGTCCTATGAAAGGAGGGCACCACCGTGGCCCAGAGCTTAGAAGTGCCAGGGTCACAGGGCTGCTCCCCTGAGGGTTGTGGGGTGTGTGTGTGTGTGTGGTAAGGATAGATTGCTTTTCACTCTGGAGATTGTGAAATAATGAAGGTCATGAAGTCTTCAACAAACCCTGGCATCTTGGATTATGCTACAAGCCCAAGAAGCTGACGGCTTCTGAGCAGGAATGCTCATGATAAGCCCCTCTCCCTGGGTAGCTCTGTGTGGAGGCAAGACAGGGTCTTTCAGAACGGGCACCGTGCCTAGCCAGCTGTCAGGATGTTCCTGAAGAGCTCAGCCGTAGCCCCCTTTTCAGGTGGGTGGAGCCGAGGTGGGGTATGCGTTGTGTGCCTCAAGTTACCACGGAAGGCAGAACTGTTATAGAACCAAAATACAGTCAAGTGTGTCTTAACCTGTTCTCGGGGTGGAGTGAGTCAGTGTGAAGAAAAGCACGGGCTGTGCAGTTGACATCCTCAGGAACGGCTGCAAATGGAACCCAGGCACTGGCTCGTGCTGTGCAAGAGCTCTACCATTGGCCTGTGCTCCATGTAGTTTAGTTTAAATCTTGCTTGTCCCAGTTAGCTTCCCTGTTGCTATGATAAACACCAGAACCAAAAGCAGCATGGGGAGGAAAGGACTTCTTTGGCTTATGTGTTACTGTTCTTCATCCAGGGAACTCAAGTCAGCAGCTTGCAGCAGAAACCATAGGGGAGCACTGCTTGCTAGCTTGCTTCCTCTCCTCAACTCAGCCACCTTCCTCACACAACCCAGGATAGCTACTCAGGGATGCACTGCTGAGGTAGATGGGCCTCTGACGTCAGTGCTCTCAGGCCAGTTGGATGGAAGCTCTGCTTTAGTCCCTCCTCCAGGTGTGCCAGGTCAACAACTGCAGTGAGTCTGACTGCAGTACGCAGTGCTGTAGAGGAGTCACAAGGGGGCGTCCGAACTTTTCTAATTTGCTATTTTCCCTTGTCCTTTTCTCCTCCAAGCTCAAGCAGTTGTCACTCCCCAAACCATAGATGAGATCAGGGCCAGAAATCAGGGTAGTGGTTAGTCACATGGTTCCGTGGGGTACTCCGGAAACTGCCTGCTACTGTGAATGACCTCCCATGGCTTCCTATGACTGTTCCTCTATCAGAGTGGTGACTGAGCAGCAGATGCATCCTAGGCCAAAGTCACTTAGCTGATTAGAGCTGAAGACCAAGCTCTTTCTCATTCCAGAGTGTACACTGCATATGTAAATTTCAAATACATGTACACACACACACTCATTCATCCCTTAAACCAAGGTCCTTAGAGATAGTCTTCTGAGGTCTAGTGATAATTATTAAACACATCCTTATCTCACTGTTAAGTATGATTTAATTTGTTGTATAAATGACTTGTTTGAAATGCCTTTTAGAGGAGAAAATAGTCTCTTGGCCTGCTTTTTTTTTAATAAGTAAAAATGGCCACTTTCATCTCTTTATTCTGGTCAGATCTAATCGGGCGCTGATCAATGTTTGGATCCCGTCTGTGTTTCTCCGAGGCAAAGCAGCCAATGCATTTCATGTGTATCAGGTAAGTACCTGGGTTTCATGCTGACATGTATTGTGTTTGTGCCATGGTGCTTTGCATGCTGGCACTATTTGTATATCTGCAGGATCTGCGCTGATGAGGTGGTGTGTGGCCACTGGTCAGGTAGAAGGATGTGCATGGAGTCCTGTTGTTGCCTTGTGCTGTTGTTGCTCTGTGACTTTGCCAGCTGTCTGAAGCTTGATGGCTGTTCCCCCGCAGCACCACACACCCATTCTTCTTGTCTGGCTTCAGCCAGGACCTGGTTCATGTCTCATAGTCCATCTTGAATCGCAGGCCTGTGGCTGAATCTTGGGGTGAGGGGTAAGACTTTGATTTTCATGGCTGGCTCAATTTGGCCCTGTATCAGGGTTGGCAGTGATCTCACTCAACCACGTGTCTGAGAGTGGGAAAAGGACCCTAATAAAAACCAGACTATGCTTTTGTTGTTTTGAGACAGGATCTTGGTACATAGCCTAGGCTGGCCTTAAACGTGCAAGTGTGTGGATTACAGGTGTGCCACCATGCCCAGTCAGGTTACACATTGCAAATGAAAGGGCCCTTTTTCTGCAAACAAGCCTCAGAAGTGTCCAGGCACTGTTTGCATGAGTGCTTCAGAGTCGAGCTCTGCGGGATCTGTGTGCTCTGGAGATAGTTTTGCAGGCAGATTTGTGGGGATTTAGATGTGCATGTTTTAGTTCCATGCGTAGCATATGCATTAGCCCTTGTCTGACAGTGCTTCTGGTTGGTGTTTGGAAACATTTTAGGCAGCTTGATGCAGTGTTTTCCATGTCACTGATAATGGATAGAAATGACTTATTTAAATAATGGTACCACTAGGAATTATTTATAAGATTTTTTAATGCATGTTATTTAGACTTGAGGTAATTTCTAGAGAAGCATATAGAAAAGAATGATAAAAGCAAAGAGAAAAATAGAGCAGGGTTGGATAGCTCAAAGGGTTTAAAAGGAAAGAGCAGAGACTGTATTTATTATGAGGTCCAACCTAGTCCTTTCTGGCGATTTGAATTTCCTGCAGGCTTCCTGGCGGCCATTGTGAAAAGGAAAGGCAGTTGGTTATTTTGAGTAATTAATCCCATTGCTAACAACAAGAAAAGCTGTTAATTCCTCCCAGAGAGCTAAAAAGAAACCTCCACACGGGGCTTCAGAGTGAGGAAGGCAGGGACCGATGATCCTCCGCTATAAGGCAACTTACTGTCTACTTTCTAAGGATCTCCTTTCCGGCAGCACAGCCACAACCATGGATGACCGCATGCCCTTGAAGAGCCCTGTGTGGCTCTCCAGCAGAAGCGTGCTGTGTCCCACCACAGCCACTAGCCACACATGGTCGTTAGATTGTGATTATTAAAACCAAATAGATTGAACACCTGTTTGCTGGCCATACTGGTCATGTTTCAGGTGCTCACTGCTGTACCTGTGGTGGCCTTGGTCACATGGCCATGTTTCAGGTGCTCACTGCTGTACCTGTGGTGGCCTTGGTCACACTGGCCATGTTTCAGGTGCTCACTGCTGTACCTGTGGTGGCCTTGGTCACACTGGCCATGTTTCAGGTGCTCACTGCTGTACCTGTGGTGGCCTTGGTCACACTGGCCATGTTTCAGGTGCTCACTGCTGTACCTGTGGTGGCCTTGGTCACACTGGCCATGTTTCAGGTGCTCACTGCTGTACCTGTGGTGGCCTTGGTCACATGGCCATGTTTCAGGTGCTCACTGCTGTACCTGTGGTGGCCTTGGTCACATGGCCATGTTTCAGGTGCTCACTGCTGTACCTGTGGTGGCCTTGGTCACATGGCCATGTTTCAGGTGCTCACTGCTGTACTGTGGTGGTCACATGGCCATGTTTCAAGTGCTCACTAGCTATATCTGTGGTGTTGTTGCATGGCAAGGATAATGTCTCTATCAGAGTGGAAGCAGCTTGAGAACTGCGCCTCCCCTGGAGGGGGACAGCAGGGTCTCTTGTTGCTAGTTTAGAAGACAGTGTCTGGAGTTCAAATGACAGAGCTTTCGGGAGAGCCTTCCCCTATAGTGCTTTTACTGCTTCTAGTGCAGGGTGCCTAACTGTCTAGCATTACAGTGTGACGCTGTCATCTACAAGGTGTTGAGCCACAGTCATAACTGTTTGGAACACGTGTCCTGAAGGCTGCAGGCTAGACATGCCTGCCTCCTCTCTGGAGGATGTCCCAGCTTTATGCCCTCCCTGTCCCTACTTGCATAACACAGGAAGCTGGTTATTGACACCTTTGGCCAACAATAGGTGTCATTTGTTTGCCCTATGTTTATTTTTGTATTTGCCTTTGAGTTATGACACAATTCTGCTTTCTCATATATGAAGTACAATCTTTAAAAATTTAAGTAAATTGGAAATGAGTCAGCTTAAAGAATAATACTAAATTCACAATAGTGAATAGAGCAACAGGCTAAGGGTGATGCCAGATGGGAACATTGGCATAGGAATGACTAGGCTAAGTTAGCAATATAAATAATAATTACCAGCTGCAGGTATCCTACTCCCACGCTGATTTGCATGCTATGAGAATTAGCTCTGTCAGTGCTCATAGCAACTCTGCGAGGTAAGACACTTTTATACCTGACTCATGATAAGGAAACAAAGACACAGAGAAACACATTTAATGACACAACTTTTTAGCTCATACTGCCACCCCTGACAGACTTTAGATTTAGTCTCTTTGTTTTAGCTGCTCTCCTGGTGCTGTGATAAATGCTCTGAAAAAAGCAACCTGAGGGAGAAAGTGTATCTCTGGACCATCTCTATCCCACCAGCCAGCTCTCAAATAACCACATGGAGACTTCTTATTAATCATGAAAGCTCAGCAATAGCTTAGGCTTGTTCCTAACTAGTTCTCATAACTTAAATCAACCCATATCTTTTAATCTACATTTTTTTTAATCTACATTTTTTTAAGTGATTTGGTTACATTTATTCTGTATTCCCCATCCTGCTTCCTCTCTGGCTTACAACTCTCTGCATCTCCACCCTTCTTCCCAGCATCTTCTCTACCCTGAAAATCCTGCCTAACTATTGGCTGTTCAGATTTTTATTAAACCAATCCAAGCAACAAATCTGCACAGTGTACAAAATATTGTTCTACATTTCTCCCTCTTTGTCTAAATAAAAAGGAATGGTTTTAACTCTAACATAATAAAACTATAACAATAAGAACAATTATCAGGTAAGAATTACATTTACAATGTCCAATCCATTTGTATTTGGCATATTTGTAGAAAATACTTCATTGTTTATTTTATCTTGATGAGTACAAAGCTCTGTACTTAATTTATCTTCTCTTATAACTAAGGAAAACTGAAACTATAAATACCTACTCTTTAACTCCATTAATGACCCCTGAAGGATATAATATTACCTTAGTAGACAGGAAGTGCAGAGCAAGCAGCTTTCAAAACTGAAATAAATGACAGAAACAGCTGACTGCCAAGACAGTCACCCAAGGTTCCTCTGCAATGTTGGGGCATCCATCTTTGGCTTACAGGCCTAGATAATCTTATAGACTTTTTTTTTGTAAAATAGATACTTTTGAAGGATTGTCCTATCCTCTCTTGGCAAAGTTTGGCAGTCCATTTTCTTTGTGTCCTGCCAGTCCAGTTTGGCCAGCATACTGTCAGCAGCCAAGGCAAGGGCAGATTCTTGCTCAAATGGCTAGCTTTTGCCTTAAAGAAAGCGTATTTTTGTATTGGAGGGTCTCAGATGTCCATTGTCGTCTCTAAAGTAGATTGGTACTGTCACCAAAAGCCTTATGTTATTAAAACATCTTAAATGACACAATCTACAGATCCATGAAGTGTTTAAAGATCACCTGTCTATCTAAAATATATCTGTTTGACCTTGAGAGCATACCTAACATGGCTATAAGTTTGATAGTTAATAGATGACTAACTATTAGCCTGTATTTATTTTCCTAAATAAAATTTAAAGACTAATTGCCTTAAACAGGAATAGAAATTTAGATATAGTATAACAAAAATAGCCTTAAATTTGTATTAGTATACAAAAATCCATACCTGTGGCAACTGTATCACCTGGAACCATGGTCGGGCAAGGGCCTTGGGATTAAAGAACACACAGAGACACGGGTCACTCTTGAAGCAAGAATGCGAATTTTATTATGTTCCCTGCAGCTTGTATAGTGCTCTCCTTGACTAGTGGCCACACTCTAGCTCTGGGGATTTTCTACTGCAAGCCCACCAGAAACCACTTCCTTGTCAGGAACTCATGAGGGTTTTGTGCTCAGAGCAGCTGCAAGCATAGAAACACAAGTTGTTTTCTCCAGTAGGCAAGGGGTCATAGAAAGTTCAGAGACTGGGGGTCTGCAGCTCCCAACATGTACCGATGTAAAATATTTGAGACTTGTGGTTATTTAAAAGTAGATTCAACAATCCACACTTTTATCTCATCATTTTATCCTATATTCCCATTTTTTTCTTCAGAAAGAGCTCTTTGAATATAATTCCTTTGTTTAGCTTTTTTCCTGACTGTGACCAATAACAACTTGTAACCAACTCCGCTAAATGATGAGAAACATCCATAACCCATCAAATGACCAAAAACCACCTACCACATTTCTTGGGAATGTGGGCGTCATGTTCTCCAAACTGCTTCCTGTTGTCTGGGGTACTGGAATCTTTAGGAGACCCTCGACAAATTGGTATAATTGTCAAGTCTTGAGAGAGTTAGCTGAATTATTTGTTTTCAGTCTCTGTGTAATGGAAAAAAGCACAAGACTTATCTGCAGTCCTGGCTAGAATAGTCTGTGAGGCTGGACCATCTCAGCCAGCAGTCTTGAAGATGTTCTGGATGCAGAACTCTGAGGAAACTCTACCAAAAGCACCCTGAGAGGCTGGATCACGTGGCCCACCTGTTTTCATCAGTAGATCTGGTGTCCTTGCTCTGAAAATACGTAGACTTTCAAAGGTAACATACATATCTGCATTAACACAAGTATGGAGTAT